GCGCGTGGGCACTGGTATTCTCGTTGATTGAGTAATCACGGGAAAGTAAAAGAGGATGTGTCGAGAGTTATCTACACACAACGTGTGCCTCGATTGATAATCCCTCACCAGTTTATTCCGGTTTGTTACGCGACTGCTCACAATAGCATTTCGTCAGGAAACCAGTCGCTAGTGGCGTCGAATCGGCTCGTTCTCGGACGGAGCCGAATGAAACGGGAAGTGGAGAGACGTTGGAGAAGTGTTGCAGCTCCTGCGTGGGGCACCAGCCAGTCGAGGGAGCACACAATGAGCTGATTACTCAGCCTGCTTTGCCGCGTACATTCTCTGTCCAGTGATAACGAGAAGCGCTTGATCAAACAAACCCTCACCAAATTTCCGCATTACACTGGAGGGGATATTTGCCATGACGTCATGCATATCGTCCACGCTGTTTTTGCGGGCGGAGAGGGAAGGGCTATGGAAGCAAGAGGCGAAAAGTGTAGAGGAACGGCAGTCGGAATACAGGGGGGGGCAACAAAAAAAGACGTTTTGTCTCCACATCTAGATGCATTTAGTCACAGCTCAATTCAAACCAAATGGTTCCAACTTAGGATTGAAGAGCACATTTCATTGTATAAGAGAATCTTCATAGTGGCAATACTATGGACGGCATCAGAAAACTTTGCGCTGGAAACATTGGTGCACTGGTCGAGCTCAATGGGGTCTTCAATCGGATCGTGTGCCATAACGACCTTCACTGAAAAGAGTTTCGAGGGGGCATGCATAGTGGGGGCTAAGGTCGGAAACTATCCAGGAAATATGTAAGAGATTCACGGCTGAAGCAGTTACTGTAGGCCTCCCTGAGCTTGACGACGGTGACAGATGACGTCATATTCTGAAGACGGTGAGGGTAGTGAAGGAGGGCCTGCGTGTACTTATAGAGGGACATTTAGGGAATATTTTGCTGAGGAACTTCCGTCAACGACGGCAATCTCTGCGAAGAAAAAAGGGCCGAAGTGCGACATGGGCAAAATGTCTTTTTTTTTGCCCCCCCCCCCCTGTATGGCGTTTAACTCGATACCTTACTTTCTCATGTCCCCGTGGCAGATAACCAGCCTGTTTGTGGTAGCACTGGATTTCACCCGGACAACGAAGCATACATACTGTCTTACGACATGATTTTCTCTTGCATACTTCGATGCGTTATCACTTCCGGATTTTCCCTGGGAAGGGTTGATTAGGTCAAGGGGATATTCTGACTCTTTTTGAGCGTAATGTGAGATTCTCAGGCGCCTACCGTGTTGGTAATTCCGTAAAACTGGACTGTATTACCTCGAAAATGAAATCAGGTATGCGAAGAAGATCGCCAATAGTTTCTTGGAACTTCTGTTTTGAAGCTGGACATATTACGACGAAGCGCCATTGGCCGTCACGACAACACAGTATGCCACACTCACTAGAGGGCAATGTGGACGAAGAAGACGCAAACATTCTGCTGCGTTCACCATTGTTTCGCGAGCACAGTTGCTGCACCCAACAGACTAATTGACATAGCCGTAGCACCTCTATCGCGCACGTAAATGGCACATAATCTATCCTCCATGGAGCCCTGTCCTGTAGATGGAAGTGGCTGATCCACCTAACTTAAAGGCAGTGATTACGATAGATTCAAGAAGGTTTATAGGAGACTGGTGGTGCTCAATGGTACGCCAGTGGCGAAAAAAGCGGAGAAATCCGTCAAGAAAACGCAAAACGGGACCCCTTTTTTGGCCGTTGGTTTTCACTCATGAACAGGTAACAGCTCAGAAAGCGGACGTATGAACGAGTTCACGCAACGCGACACATGCCAATCCATGCTCCAGTCGAGTTGCTCCAGTTGTGCCGCTGCTGGCAACGCAGCTCGTCCAAATCACCAACTAAACTAGTGGGCGGATCGCTTTTGGGGCGGAGTGCTTTCGAAGTCCTGCTCAGCAACCAGCGCACCTTTCGTCGTGAAAGCGCTACACCTCGCTTCCCTGGCAGCCAAGTAACTGATTCGTGTGGTGCATATGCTTCCCCGATGCGCTCCCTCTTTTTATCGTAATCGCTGCCTTTAACACGTTGACGACAGGCTGACGCGCATGCGCGTCAGAAATTTGGCACCGCATCGGACATTCTGACGCGCATGCGTCAGAACTATGTTTCATTTTTATCGTGCTTGCGCTCCTTCTTCTCGAGTTTTTTGTATTCATTCTATAGATAATACATTAGCATAACTATAAACCACATGGCAGCCAGAGTGGTCAAATATGCCTTGATTTAGCAAAGATTTTCAAAAACTTACGCAATTTTAGGTTCAATTCTTCCTGATTTTCCTTCACTTTTGTAAACATTCATGTGGAAGATTGTAGAAGAAGTAATACAAAACTCTCTGAGTTTCAAGATATTTGTATTTGATGGAAAAACTAAGGTATAAATACTTTTTATTTCATTTGCAGCAAAAAGGATGTTTTTTGCTTCTTCATAGTCATTATGCGTCCTTCTGAACAAACTTCTCCTGCTATTTATATACATGACCTCCACGATTTCATCTTTGCCGAAAGATAGCCTAAGATATTCAAGTTGTTGAGCATTTTGAACAAAAAATAAGCGAAAGTAAGGTGAAGAGGGCGCGCTCGCGAAATCGCTCCTGCCTCACGCGGTGCAAAATGCCAAAACACGCGATGTCGTCAAATTTAATCATATGGAATGTGCTTTTACCGCCCTCAATTGAGGCCATTCTGGATCCAGGGATACTTTCAACGGGTAACAGAACTGCAGGGAAAAATATCGACTTCCGTTTTGTTGTTGCTCTTTATCATTAGTACATCATTATGGATGTAATCACCTAGCGTCAGAGGAGAAATGTGAAATCTCAGACTTTAGTTCATGCAGTCGATTTTTACACGGTAGATTATCGGGATCTACTTTAGAAAACTAGGCGAAAAGGTGCTCGCCGCAATGGAGTGATCTCTGGTGTCAAAAAATGGCCAAATGGGCGGATTCCATATGTGATCAGTGGGCAGTATACCGAAAGGGAACGCGCGAAGTAAAGAAGTACTTAAGCTAGGAGCTTTCAGGTAATATTCAACAAATTACCTGAACATATTATCATGATACAATGAGCTTATGTTGTTCAATCAATTGCAGGAGTATCATAAGCGGACATGCGTGAGATTTGTGGCTCGCACGCCTCTTGACCGAGACTACCTCGTACATCGGGAAAAATAGATGGGTGAGACCAATAAATTGGCAGTTTCTTCACGAAATTTCTACAGAGACACCGTTTTAAGGAGCATTTACCGCAGGGCTCTTTTAACCTACTGCGCCTGTTCCTCATACTGTTTTTCAGTTTTGAGGATGAGTAGATGTAAGTTCAACCTATGGTAGCTAAAAGAGGAATAAGAAGCTGAAATGATTGGTGTTCGAAATTTAGCTGCAATTTAAAAGCGCGCGATAAACACTTATAGGGGGCCAAATTTATGTAGGTCAATTCCGTTAGAACCAACATTCGTATTTATGCATAATTTGAGCCGGCGCTCGCGAAACTTCGCGCCTGATCACCACGCACGCCAAAAAGCGAAGCTGCTTATCATTGGGTTGTCAATTGCATTCTATGCTAATTTCTGTTGCATGAAAAGCATTTTCGTACTTGCTGTCACACTTGTAAATGAATTATACGTAAGAACTATGCCGTAAATTAACAGTTGAATGAGCAGATGTTTTTCTGATGTTGGACGGGCCGGTGGACGTCAAGAGTTGTCGCTCGACGACGGATGCTTGCAAGTGGGTTTTATTTATTTCACCGATTTATCCCCTTTTGTTGAGTGATAAATTATTTACCGTTGCACAACCTCTCTCCAAGACACCCCATGTATCTTGTGCCTATTCTCATTACCATTGGGTCAATCTGTTGGAGTATTCAATCTATTCCAACTCGTCCATTGGAACAGGACTCACTTGGGAAGAGAACATGCCGTCAGTGGTTCATCAGCTGACTGAATTACATTGGACTTCCAATCACAATTCCCTAAATTTTGAATGCACGATGCATCCCAATGGTTTCATTTTACTGAGCGTGCTGGAGGAGGCGCACTACCACGAGCCCAATCCGAGAAATAAACTCTAGGGTATAACCGACTCCGGTGGTCAACGGGGATGTTATTCGCCAAGGTCAGATCACCACTGCCAGGACAGAGGATATAATAGTGACATATAATGCAGCCTCCAAGCTCCTGTATTATCCGCCAATACCGAGTATCTAGTGGCATTACGATTCGAGGAAGTGTAGAGGCGTCGGCGCATCGCAGAAGGGGTTCCATAAACGTAGATGCTCGCTATCGAATCTTATCCTTTATCGAGTTGGTGTATTAATTTGTATATGTTCGGATGCTTGATAAGAATTGCGATACGGAACGTTTTCCCTGGAAAAACCTAAAAGCGCAATAGAAAACACTGAAATTGCCATGTCAGGTATGCCGTGGTAAGATAGGGGGGGACGCAGCGCTGCAGGGAGAAGAAAAACGCGAGAAAGCATGTTGAAGGTAAGAGGGCGCAAACTCCAGGTATGCCGCGATCGATAAGGATGGCAGCACAGCAACACACAAGGCAAAGCTTTAACGCCGTTGTCTCGCATTTTTGAGCCGAGACAGTGTCGCGCTTCCTGCGCTCGGGAAACCCTCTGTCTCACTTTGAGAGCGACAACTTCTTGCCATCTACTCCTATCTAGTGGGTTTAAACTGCATGATCGTTTCAGTACGACACAGCAATTCACGAGCTGATGCATTCGGTGGGGTTTTATCACGAACACGAACGATGGGATCCGATACATCATATCCACCATTCTCGTGGGGCAAAACATTTGACAATATGGTTTGTTTAAAAAGCTGTATTTGAGGCGCATGTCTTCCTGAAAAACACGCTCAAATTACTATTTTTCAGATGTGCGTCGACCAGTTTTGGCAAAGTGTCTTTGAGTCTCACTGAAAGTGCACTACGGGCAGATGTACGACGATTCTCAATTTATGCATTACGATAGTCTAGCATTTTCAAAGAACGGATTCGAAACTATGGTAGCGAAGCGACCAGAGATGACAGCGGTGATCGGATCGGCAATCGACTTCAGTCCGGTATGAGAGATCACATGGGTATTATAGTTCTAAACTTTGCGATGACTACTTCAAAAACCTCTTCCTATCCATACGATTCCACGGACGGTGCTTGCCAAATACTACCTTGAACAGCTTAGTCCCAGCCTTCCTTCATCCCTGATTCAGCTTGCCTTATTTTCTGAAACAAAAATAAATATATGAGACATCACGGAGATTTTGATCTGATCGCCTTCTAAATTATGGTCTGATCGACGAAATAATTAGCTGTCTTCTACACCCATCTAAGTAACAATAGGGCAAATGTCAGACTTTGCGACTGTTGCGGGCTTTAGCGCTTCGCGCGGCTCGCTAGCGATCAGGGTCAAACGTCCATTCTCAACGGCGGGGCACGGGGTAAAAATGGGTCGTGTTTGTAGGGAAGGCCTAATTCTTGGAGATTTTTCAAATTTCACGAAAAATAGGGAAGGAATGGGGCGAACCGGCCGCATTGGGCCCGTGGTTCAGCAAAATATGTTGACCAGTTTAGCTCCGCCCGCTACCGCGCGCATGACACGGAAGCCTTTGATAGGACTGAGAATCGGTGAAGCTTTGGGTCTCACCGCTTAACTATAGCTGCTTCCTTAAATGCATTACTGTCCGTTGCTCATCTTGGCTGTATCTCACTGTTTGATAAGCGCAGTGAAGTGCACAGCTAAAGTGATGTATGTAAACAACCACCATGCATCGAGTATCGAGGTAATTTAGCGGTCGAATAATTTTTGATGATCTCAAATTAGAATGCCCAGTATTCACTATCGTATTTATTCGAGCATCTCATTCATCCTCAAGAACTCGAGAAGGTGCAGCGGTCGAAAGGTGTTTGAGTTTACAATTATAACGCTAATGAAATGATATTGAAATGAAATGCACTATCTGCAATCTGGTTTCGAGTGATCTCTACGTTCGTACGCATATCATTACTATTAGTCCTCAGCTGTCGTTATCACTTTTTGAAACCACAAAATATGTTACCGTCCCACCCCCATATCATGTCCCAAAATCAGTTCCTGACGACTGCTGCGAAGCGCACTATATATTTCGTGAAATTTGTGTTTCAGCGCCTCTTATCTGCTCTTATCAGTCGTTATCACTTTGTAACCCCCACCAAATATGTTCCCGCCCCACCCCCTATACCATGTCCCAAAATCAACTCCTGACGACTGCTGCGAAGCGCATTACATATTTCGTGAAATTTGTGTTTCAGCGCCTCTTATCTGCTCTTATCAGTCGTTATCACTTTGTAACCCCCACCAAATATGTTCCCGCCCCACCCCCTATACCATGTCCCAAAATCAGCTCCTGACGACTGCTGCGAAGCGCACTATATATTTCGTGAAATTTGTGTTTCAGCGCCTCTTATCTGCTCTTATCAGTCGTTATCACTTTGTGACCCCCACCAAATATGTTCCCGTCCCACCCCCTATATCATGTCCCAAAATCAGCTCCTGACGACTGCTGCGAAGCGCACTATATATTTCGTGAAATTTGTGTTTCAGCGCCTCTTATCTGCTCTTATCAGTCGTTATCACTTTGTAACCCCACCAAATATGTTCCCGTCCCACCCCCTATATCATGTCCCAAAATCAGCTCCTGACGACTGCTGCGAAGCGCACTATATATTTCGTGAAATTTGTGTTTCAGCGCCTTATTATCTGCTCTTATCAGTCGTTATCACTTTGTAGCCCCCACCAAATATGTTCCGCCCCACCCCCTATACCATGTCCCAAAATCAACTCCTGACGACTGCTGCGAAGCGCATTATATATTTCGTGAAATTTGTGTTTCAGCGCCTCTTATCTGCTCTTATCAGTCGTTATCACTTTGTAGCCCCCACCAAATATGTTCCCGCCCCACCCCCTATACCATGTCCCAAAATCAACTCCTGACGACTGCTGCGAAGCGCATTACATATTTCGTGAAATTTGTGTTTCAGCGCCTCTTATCTGCTCTTATCAGTCGTTATCACTTTGTAGCCCCCACCAAATATGTTCCCGCCCCACCCCCTATACCATGTCCCAAAATCAACTCCTGACGACTGCTGCGAAGCGCATTACATATTTCGTGAAATTTGTGTTTCAGCGCCTCTTATCTGCTCTTATCAGTCGTTATCACTTTGTACCCCCACCAAATATGTTCCCGCCCCACCCCCTATACCATGTCCCAAAATCAACTCCTGACGACTGCTGCGAAGCGCATTATATATTTCGTGAAATTTGTGTTTCAGCGCCTCTTATCTGCTCTTATCAGTCGTTATCACTTTGTGACCCCCACCAAATATGTTCCCGTCCCACCCCCTATATCATGTCCCAAAATCAGCTCCTGACGACTGCTGCGAAGCGCACTATATATTTCGTGAAATTTGTGTTTCAGCGCCTCTTATCTGCTCTTATCAGTCGTTATCACTTTGTAACCCCCACCAAATATGTTACCGCCCACCCACTATATCATATCAAAAAATCAGCTCCTAACGACTGCTGCGACGCGTGCTATGAATTTCGTGACACACACACACACACACACACACACACACACGTACAGACAGACATAGCGTTTTATATATAGTAGGGATATACCGTACTTCGCTACCATGCAGATCGAACAGATTTCGGGCGAGGTTTGGGTTGTGTCGCCTGGGTGTCAGAACCAATGCGTGCGATACAGTCACACGGGTGAAATCGGAGAAAATTAGGGGAGGTGAGCGCACGTACGCGGGAGATCCGATATAAGGAGGTGCGGTGGCAGTCGTATGGGAGACCACTGAAGGCAGTCGAATTAAAATTCCATGGAGCGGCCCTGAAGAGTGTGGGATTAATTGCCGTTTAGCATCTAGGAGAGGCTCAGCGTTCCACCCCGAGGAACCGGATAGTGCCCTTCACGACCTCCTACACTGACACTGACTGAAATGCCAGAGTTGCTCGAATCGCTAACAAATCGCACAGTGGTCACGAATTTCGTTCTACAGCGCGCTTAGCCACTTCTACTGCATCTTAACACGCTCTGCCTTTCCAGATTACTTTAGAAAACTTTGTTCTTATTTTGTTTTTGGACTGGGAAATAAGTTCAGTCCGAACTTTTATGTCAAGAAAAGGCGATATTTGCCGAAACCCAGCTTATATGGTATGAATAGTATTTGCAGGATGCTAGGCCAAGAATAATATTGAACTTTAATTTCCTTTTTCTGCTCTTCGAAGTCTATTCCAAAATTCCAGGATCACGATAGGGTTGGAGGTCGAAGGGGAGGTGCGGGGGGGGGGTAACTTACAGAACTTATAAAATAAAGGCAGGAGGACCCTCTAAGGGTGCGGACAGACATGCAATTCGCAGCGAAGGATATGATGCAGCGATGTAGCACGGCCGTACTCGCGCCGCTAGCGCCGTTGCCCAGCCACCTCCTCACCGTCTGGCTTCGGTCGCTTAGCGAGAGAATTGAAGCGTTGAGGTTAGCACCGATAAGACAACCTAACGCGTAAGTCAATGGGTGAAAGAGGATTCCTCGGCTTTTAGATTGTTTTTCTTGGTCTGTTCTTTATTCTCTTATCACTAATCTGACTTCTACTGAAGATGGGTTGTGTTAACAGTTGGAGCGTGGATGCTGAAATTACGACAGCAGGGAAAAACCAGAGAAATATGTCAGGAGCATGCAATATAGAATCCTTCACTGCACTTTGACCTTACAATGTATGAGCCAAGTAAGGAATCGCTTGCACGTGTGAACCCGATAGACACCATCCTGCCAGCAAACACCCATTTTTGCGCCTGCTAGTGCAAAAGAAGTTGTAAGAAGTTTTCCCACAACTCCTCAACACGTCGTTGTTCTATGAATTGATAATTGTGCATTTCAGACCGACATTTTGAAAATGAATTTGATGTACCAATGTGGACAGGGTGTGAACGTGGAGCCGCAGCCGCTCCCACCACCTCAACCTCCTCCTATTCCACCAATGATTTTCTCTTCTATTCCGGACACAGAAGAAGGTAGGGAATTTGTTGGCCGTATTTTTATAATTACAACCTTTGATGAAAATCTTGGAGGTGAAGCGAAAACAAAAAAAAAACTCAGCAAAACCGATCATCC